CATCAGACGCACCGGTGTTCGACATACCGGTGTCTGTCGTCAGTTCCATTTCTTCAAGACATCCTTCCATGTGAAATGTCCAATATTTATACTCCTCATAAATCCTGATATTAGATGTCTATGTAAATCACTTTTATTCTCCAACACCAGATTTTTACACCAATAGCAGGGACAATACACGACATCACTATTTAACTTTCGCGGGTCTGCCAAGGCGTACTGTATGAAAGAATTTATTTCATCTTTATATCGACTGTCTCTCCATCTCTCAATACGAGGAATATCGATCCTTGATTTGTCGGGAACTATCCTTATCTATATAATATATATAATTTTTATTAATGAAATTAAATATAATTAGGTAATCTGAAATTAATGATTAACGCATCAAATTAATGATTGGGTAATATTAACTTTTTTAATAACATCGAGGAAATACAAATTATAATAATCTCCGAGGGGGAATTGCCAAAACATAAATTATGTTTTTCTAAAATCTAATGCTTATATTTTCAATAAGACGCTTTAACAACTGTCATAGGAAATGGACCTATCCCATTAGGAATATAGTAGTGTCTACATCTACCTTTGTATACTTTATGCGTTTTTATTTCTTAAAAATTTCGGCAGTACCTACCCGCTGTTCTCCGAGTACACTGTGCGGATGTTATAATGCTTATCAATGATCGATAATAGATCGACACACAAAGCAACATACGCTTATTGTACACGGAGAACAATACAATATGCGTTATTAAAATTTTAAGTATTAAAAATGCATAAAGTATACAAAGATAGATGATACACTACTGTATTCCTAACCTGTACGAGAAGGGGAATCCTCCCCGGACAAATCTAATAATTATTGTATGTAGATCATGCTCCTAATATAATTCACGTAATTCTCTTTAGATATAAAAAGTATTTTCACATCCAACTAGAATTGCGTGCGTTTATGTTAGAAGAGATTAACATCCAATATTATTAGACGGGAAACTAGGGGTAATGACTTCTGGTTCATATAATCATGATATATAACAAAATACAATGTTATATATTTAACTAAATTGAATGCATCAATAACAGCAGAATGATTTGTCATAACAATCACTGTTTAATTAGTTTGATTAGGGTAAGGTAGATTTTAAGTAGATGTTAAAATTAGTTTAATTAGAGTCTTAGACTTATGGTAATATAATCATGGTTGTATTAATGTTATTTAAGGATAAAGTCCAATTTAATTTGAATTGGATTAAAATGATAATACGAGTAAAGTTAGTTTAGTTAGGATGATAGACTAAAGTCATATAATATTATTAACATTAGGCTTATTTTTATTGAATATTTTTATAGTAATATTTAATATGGTTAGTTAAGACTAATGGCCAAGGTTGATTTAAAGTAAAATTAGTTTAATTAAAATTAGGAGTAATGGTTAACGTTAGTTTATTTAAGATTCTACACTTAGGATAATGTTTTTTGGATTAGGATTATAAACATTAGTATTAGGATTATTTTCGATAGTTAGTTCATAGAGTTAGGATTATAGTTATACATATTTAAATTAATTAATTAGATTTAGGATTAAGATCAAATTTGAGTAAAAGTTTGTTGAATTAGGAGGGTCATTGACTTGGTTAATGACTTTAAGGTAATAATTAGGAGTACTAGTTAATTAAATTTTAGTCAATTAGGGTTATCAAATTAGGAATAGGCTAACTAAAGTTTAATTAGTACTATTATATATGAGATTAGGGTAAGAAAAAGGATAAAGTTAGTTTAATTAGGGTTCTATACATAGGGTAATGTGATTAGGGTTACTATTAGGATCATATTAGGTTGATAAATTTAATTGAGTTATTAAAGTTAAGGATTAAAGTAGATTATTGAGTTATTAAAGTTAAGATTAAAGTTATTAAAATTGAATTAGTTAATTAGAGATTGAAATATGCTAACTTTTTGGTTAAAGTTAGTTGAATTAGGGTTATATACTTAAGTAGATAAGTTTAATTGATTAGATTTGATGAGAACTAAATTTAGGGTTAGGATTATCAAACTTAAAATAGTATTATATATGAGATTTAGGTGGAATAAAAATAAAAATTAGTTTAATTACGATTCTATGCTTAGGATAATGCTATTGGGGCTATAGTGAGTATAATTAGGTTTTTTGATTTCAATTTTTGATAATAGGAGCAAAGTACCCATAATATTGTAATAAAAATGTGAAATTAGTCAAAAATATTACCTTGAGCAGATCGGGTTGACGGCGTCAAACTGGCGGCGGCGAGGCGGTGCAGTCGGAGACGCGGTCATGGCCTCTGTGCGAGCGTGTAGCGCGAGGCGCGGTAGTCGAGACGCGGTCCGGATGCGGAGGCGTAGACGCAGGCCTGTGCGTGAAGGCGTAGACGCGGATGACGCAGGGGACGGTGATGCGTCGACGGTCAGCAACGACGGTTGCGATGGCCGTGGAGCGGGGATGAGGGTGCTGGAGATTTAACAGGAGAGAGATAGGAGAAGGTAAAAAGTAATTTTGGGGGAATACCCCCCACCCCCCCCCCAAAAAAAAAAAAAAAGAATTTCACACATCGCTGCCAACGATGTCCTCCCGTCAGCGATGTTAACATCGTTGACGGGCTACGCCGATCGTTGAAGGCTACATTCCTGACGGCTCATGCCGTCATGATTGTATATATTGCTGACGGGAAACACTCGTCAGGGATGTTACTGTCAGCAATATAACGATTTCTACTAGTGATCTCCAAGACATTTTCAAACTTTAATAGGGATATCATCCGGTTCTACGGTTCGTCCACTTTTCATTTTCTTTAGAGCATCTTTAACCTCACTAATCCTAATTTTTGGACAATATCTATAGTTCCTATCATTCACTATATGATCAAAATCTCTATTTTGCTCACTTGTTTGGTTATCATTAAACAATTGATAAAAGTAACCCCTCATCAAAATCTCTATTTTGCTCACTTGTTTGGTTATCATTAAACAATTGATAAAAGTAACCCCTCCACCTCTCTTTTATTTCCCTTTTGCTCACTTGTTTGGTTATCATTAAACAATTGATAAAAGTAACCCCTCCACCTCTCTTTTATTTCCCAGTCCCTCACTAGAACTCTTTGATGTTCACTTTTAATACCAAATCTCTACTTTTCTTTTCTCTAATCTTAGCAAGCTTATGTATATCTTTCTCTCCCTCCTTAGATTCTAACTTCTTATAAAATTTTCATAAGCCTTGTATTTATTCTCATCAAACGCTCTTTTTGCTTCCTTCCTTACTAGTTTATATTTTTCTAAGTTTTCCCTACTACACTTTTGTCATTCTTTATATAAAGTTTTTCTCTCTAATAACCTTTTGCACACATTTCACCACCAACTCTCCTTACCGTCTAATCTACAACCTTTAGATTCTTGTAGTATATCTTTAGTCACTTTCCTAATACAAGAAGACATGCTATTTCACATAATATTAGTCTTATTATCTATGTTCCATATATCTTTTTTTCATTATCTTATCTTTAAAATGTATTAAATTCTCTCTTTTTAAATTCCACCATTTAGTTCTTAGTCTCTTCTCTCGTTCACATTAGTTTTTTTACTCCACTTTTGAAGGATATGTCTAAGATCATCAATCTATGTTGTGTACTTAAACTCTCTCCCGGTATAACTTTACAAACCTTGCATGTTAACCTATGCGCCATTCTAGTAAGAAAAAAAGTCTATTTGGCTATTATTAAAACCACTTTTATAGGTTATTAAGTGTTCATCCTTTTTTTTAAAAAGTGTATTTGCTATTATCAAATCATACGATATTGCAAACTCTAAAATTAGTTTATCCATAACGTTTTTATCTCCATACCTGAAACCTCCATGTATCCTCTCATATCCGTTTTTATGCTTACCAACATGCCCATTAAGATCCCCTCCTATGAGTTATTTCTCTCCAAATAGGATTTCTTGTACTAATTCATCTAAACTATCCCAAAAATTTTCTTTTAGTACTATCGGGCAAGCCTATTTGTGGTGCATAGGTACTAATAATATTAATAACCTCTACACATAAGACTATTTTTATTAGTATTATTCTATCTCAAACTCTTCTTACATCTACAACACTTTCTTTTATTATATTATCTACAAGAATTCTCACTCCATTCCTATTCTTCTCTTTTCCCGTGTACCAAAGTTTATATTCGGTCTTTTCAAATTTTCTAGATTTTCACCTATCCATTTAGTTTCTTGTAAACAAATTATATTTATCTTTCTTCTAATCATGACATCCACTAATTCCATTGTCTTTCCGATAAGTGTATTTATATTCCAAGTAGCTAATATAATTCTATTTTGTTATAAAAGACTCCTACCATTTTTCCTCTTAGACCGTTCTAGTCTATGCCTAATACTATTAGGTACCCTATTAGAGGATTGTAGATTCTTAGAACACCATTGCTTACTTGTCATTATACCGGGGTAACATTGATGTAATGCGTCGCTTCCGGGGGACACCCTGACAAACCACCCTTGTTTACTTATCATTGCATCGGGGTGGTCGATGCAACGCGTCGCGGTGGGGACGCCCCAACAAGTTTACAATATAATTTATTTTTCATGTGGATCCGACTATGTTTTATGCTGGCTATCGGCTACCTAAATCAACCCTCTTCCTTTATCATGGCTTGGGACAGACAGTGCTGACAAACAACACTGGCGGAGTTAGTTGTTAATATGAGATCTACAATTTAATCCAGGAAACTAATAAGTTAGAAAATATTGGATGAATAAAAGTCTAACTCTGTTTCTATTTCCATGTTCTATTTCATCAAAGCTTAAAAGTTAAATGAGATGTATTTGCATTGTCATTACCCCCAGTTCACCAAAGACAATTTAATAACCAGATAGTTTAGAGTATTTCTACTTTTAGCTTAACAGCGAAATAATTATGTTTTTTATTGGTTTATATTAAGTATTCCCGATTATTTTTCTAGATTCTTCTGATCGACCTGATTCTTCACAAGACAAAGGCTTACCGACATTTGCTGTACAACATGCTCAATCTAGAAGCCTCTGATGTCAAGGTATTGAAAACTTATTTATTTTTCCTTATGTTTTTACAATATTTTCTTTCATAATGATCATTCTGCTGATAAACATATATAAAGATAATTGACAAAGTATACGTTTCCATCATTCTTGTTTTCCACTGTATATTGGAGCCTTTTCTGTATAACGCATGTTTACATTATTAGTTATGCCCTTTATCAACCATTAAGCTTCCTGACATGCATTTTTATTTGCAATTCTTTCCTACCAATTGAATCTGAAGTTATCCACAGGCTGACATGCAGAAGAACATACCTTTTGACTGCTAGGTTTGAAAAATAAAAACAAGGATCACACAGTTGGAAGAGGTATCGTATATCTGGAGGAGCTAATGATTCTCTTGATTTTTTGTAATAATATTGTTGATTGAAGTTAGGTTCAATTTCCTACCTCGATATTGCATAGGAGGCCCTGACTTGCAAGGTTGAGTACTTATAAGGAAGACTGAACACTAGTAGCCATAACAGGTAGCAATTCAGCTGGTTTCATAGCCTAAGGTAGGTCACATGCCTAGATCAGTAGGAAATAATTTTTGCAGACTGATCCTGTGAGGACTCCACGAATATTTACATAGAAGTCTTGTACCATTATTTATCATCGGATATACACCAGCCATCTTTGTGTGTGTGTGTGGATGGAAGTCACCCATTTCACTATGACACTCCAAAAAGAAAAATGAAAAAGAAAACTGCAGCATGCAAATGGAGACTGAATAGTGGTGTTTGCTAACACATGCGTGTAGGGTGTTGCAGGGGATGCAAACTTGAGGTTCTCAGTATTCGTGAATGTGATGGTTTTAGAAGAGTGATTAGCTAGCTGCGGTAACTCTCTGAGGCATTAAATAAGAAAGTGTATCCTCCAAGCATAAAAATGCCACCAACATGACATGAGGTTTGACTTCATGATTATATTTGTACATCAGAAAAAAAGTGTATGAGCAAATTAATGAAGTTTTTCAGAGATTTTTTCCATATGTAAGTTGATATTTGTCACAGGAGGAAGGTCACTGTAAACTGTGCAGAGGATTTCCTTTTGCATATTGCTAGTTCTTTCTTCGTGACTAGCATCTCATTAAGTTTCTTTTTATTGGTCAAAATATTTTGTCTAAGTGTCATGCTTCTTTTATACGTTCTAGAAAATTCTGACATTCTGAAATAAGATAACCCTGATGCATTCTGAGAAAGTTAAGATTCTCAGTTAAATTAATATGTTCCAGTTTTGCTGCTTCAACTTCTTCACTCTATCTGGAACTGCTTTATAGTGGATTTTCAGAATTTGTCAGTGCAAATTTTCTTAGTAGTCATGTATTCTTACAGACTTCGTCATCTTTCAATTTGCAGGGAATACTTTGGAAGTCAAGTTTAATCAATTTTCTTTTAGATGCATGTATCCATTTATGATTGACATGACTCATTCTTGAGATCCAGATTAGACCAAATAATACTATTCATTATGCTTTGTTGAAGGACCTTAACATTTTAAGATAGGTTTTCTATCTTGAAAGGAAGCAAAAATGATTTGGATTCATCCAAGGGACTTTTATTGACAATTTGGACATGTGGAGAGGTTAACTTCTGAACCTCTGAAAATACAGTGACCTTGATGTTTTATCATTAGATTGAACCCTTTGGTATGTTCTGTAACTAATGTTTCTGTAAAATATTATGCAGATATTTGTGAATGTTACTTTGGGAAATCTAATGTTTGTATCTGTTGTATTTCTTGGCACAAGGATTCTGCTCAATTCTACCTTTGCGATTACTAGGTAAAATAATAAAGTTATTTTCTATCCTATCCTGCTATGTAATATTTTCCATTTGTTGGTTCTTGTCCTCGATTGCTTCTATTCTGTTCTGCATGTATAATAGGGATTTCCATGTTTGAACATCTGTTCTGGAGAATTTTGACACATAATCGTGGACAAATTTCTTTAGTCATCATACTATATTTCCAGCACATGCTTGCACGATGAACGCTATACTTGGATGATTGTATACATTACAAAACCTTTATGTTTTACCTACATCTTTAAGTGGACTGTTTCAGGTGTGTATTTTGTGGGACTCGCGTCTATCATTTTTTCTTCTTTTCTTTTCTTTTAGGGGGCTTGTGTAATTGCTGGGGTTCTAGATTGTTTTAAAGCATAGATATCTAAGTTATAATCAGCCATCAGCCTGTACAACCATCTACAACCTCTTGATTCACAAATTGAGTGGGTGATAATCTCTTTAATTCATATAAACATATTGCTTCGTACAACAGTGACATGTTATATTCTGTTTCTGGTTTAGGAGTCAGATTAGGGATTCCTTGTTACCTCTTTACCTGGAACTTTATACTTTTCCCACCATGAATTTGACCAAGTTTCTATTTATTATGGGAGTAGGGACCATAGGGTTAGTTGAGAATTGAATAATTGTTGGAGGCTTGGAGCACTATAACTGATTAGAAATTTGATGTTAGTAAGCTGCTAAATGCACCTTTTGAATTTAACATATGATTTACAATCAGGCCTCCTTTTTAATATGATCTCAATCCAATTTCTAATCATCATTTTCAAATAATTTAAGTAAATTATATGAAATTTGCGTTGCTACTTTATCACTGTTGAGAGTTGTTTCTTTATGTATGTTTAGTCCCACATTGGTTAGAGACAAGTCTCTTTGTATTTATGATATTATAAATAACATCAAAGAGAGGGAACTATATATCTTCTCTGATTACTATTTTCAACATGGTATCAGAGCCATCCTCTTGATCATTCATCAAATCCCAGCTATCTATCCAAGCCAACAACCTTATCAAATATCTCGGGAGGCCCCACTTTACTCTGCGCAAGAGTTGAGGTGGGGCCCACATGAAATATGTGCAACTCATAGCGAAACCCTAGCCGCCACCCTCCAGCATCAAACCCTAACCCTCTATCCACAGCCGACGACCCTAGTCGCCACCACTTCCAATCACTGTTCAAAGATATTGTTTATCCGCCGTGACACTGTTCATCAGGAACACTGTTCATTTCAGCCCCATCCGACCTGACCCAAATACTGTTCATCCATTGATTTACATACTTTGTGATTGATATAGCGGAAAACTGATTTGTTTGGTTTGGATTTTGGAGATTGGTTTGGTGGAGATCGTTTCGTTGCTTTGCTTTGATGTTTGGTTTAGTGAAAATTGTTCAGTTGGTTTCGTTTTGGAGAATATCATTCTCTCAGTTCATTTGTTAGATCCCCAAAAAAGGATCATTCATAGATGGATCTTTAAAGAAGGATCAAATCCCTGAGGGGATTGTTTGTTTGGTGGATCCCGGAGAGAATCGTTTGTTGATGAATCCTTGAAGTGAATCATTTGCTTGGTAGATCCAAGAGAAGATCGTTTGTTGATCAGATCCCTGAGAAGATTGTTTGGTGGATCCCAGAGAGGATCGTTTGCTGATGGATGCATGAAGGATCATTTGTTTGGTGGATCCTGGAGAGGATCGTTTGGTTGGTGAAGCCCTAGAGGGGATCAAATGATTTAAAGACATCCAAGTGAAGATAGGAAGATCAAGACTACTTTGAGTGTTTGAAGCCTCGTCACAGATTAGAGTGTGTGCACTTTATTTGTTACAAGTTGAACATGTATAATATATATATGCTTAGCTTGAGGGGGAGTGTTGAGAGTTGTTTCTTTATATATGTTTAGTCTCACATTGGTTAGGGATAAGTCTCTTTGTATTTATAATATTATAAATAACATCCAAGAGAGGGAATTATATATCTTCTCTGATTACTATTTTCAACAATCACGTCAAAATATTTTTACTACATTCAGGTACAGAGGTATTTTGCTTGCTATCCTGGTTTCGAGCTACTTCAAGTTATTTCTCATGGCAATTATGGTATTTGTTCACTCCAATTCAGTATTCTTTAAAAGGAATTCTTCTCCATATTCCCATCTTTGTGCTTTTCATTCATTTCTGTTCATATTTTCTTGACAGGTTTGGGAATTTCCTTTGTCTGTCCTTTTCATCATTGACATATTTGTTCTATCATCAAATTGTGTCGCTTTACAAGGTATGAACTTGACTTTCTGAAACACAAAAATTCACTGTTTGGCTGTTTGTCTTGTCACGCAACAAACGTGTGTCATTGCACTTGGTTACTTCGTCTTAATTTTGTCCTATTTTGCATGTACGAGTTCTTATACACTGTACCTTGGAAGGAACATTAATTTCTTCTTTCTACCAATATACTTTAGCTTTGCAATTGTGAATTTATTGTTGACTGAGTGCATCCTTCTGTTACTCTCTAGCCATGTCCTGAACATGTGTGGAATGAACCTTTCCTTGCCTGCATGCACACAGACACATGAAAACTAGCCTGGCAGGTTTCCTAGATTCTTTTTCAAATTTGGGTATCATAATACAATGTAGATATCATACGCCCTTAGACTAATTAGATTCATGAACGTAGAATACCAATGAAATTGAATATACTTGTGCCACAGTTAAATTCAAGAATGCGAGCAACTAAGAAACCATATGTTTAAACATGAGTGTAGCAGAAATGAGAATGACATGATGGGTGTGTCGATATAGAATAAGAGATAAGATAAGAAATTACTGCATTTGTAGGAGGGTAAAGGGTGTACTATTGAGAATAAAATGAGAGAACTAATTGAAATGTTTTCGCCATATGCAAATGAGGCCACTAAAATGCACTGATTAGGAGAAGTAATAATATTAATATTAATGGAACAAGGAGGAGCAACTAATAGAACTTTGTTGGATCGAATTAAGAAGGGTATGTTAGTGGTAAACTCAACAAAGGGAATAGTCCTTAACAAAAATGAGTACAATATAGGATTTATATAGCCGAGTCCAAAAATAATTTGGGAGAAGGCTTTTGTTGTTTTCATCGTTTTTAGGATAAACTTTAACATATTACCATTAAATTTATTGTTTTTAAGTAAATAACATGATTTTAATTTATTAAATGTAACTGCCATAAAAAAGTATATTTTTCCAGAGCACCTCCCTAGTGATGATATTAGAGAAGTTGACATTAGAATCATACCCTCAGTTGACTAATGTCAAGTAACTAAAACATAAGGGAATTTAAAAAAAAAGCCTCGCATAACAGAAAACAACAAATTATACATCTTCTCCACTTCTACTCCTGAATATTTGCTTTCATCTTCGGGCCCTTATCCCCTTTCCTACCCCCACACCTTAGTTGTACGCAATGTTATGGAAAGTGCTAGGCGGACTAGGCGTTTGAGTTGGGGCCTAGCGTCTAGGCGTTTGCCCATTTTTAAATTTATTTAATTATGATAATTCACAAATATATGTATAAAGTTCATATAAAATTACAAAAAAACATAAATAACAGTGTTAGATCCATAAAATTGAACAGTGAATAAAATGGAACAAAAATTGAACATGATTAAACTAAAATTAACTAAAATTAGACTAATTAACTAAATTAAATTAATTAAACTAAATTGAACAAGATTAACTATTTAGTATTCTCTTCATACAAAATTAAACTAGAATTAAACAAGATCATTATTAAGTATTAACTATTAACTACATAAAAACAATGAAAAAGTTTTTAAAAATAGTATTAAAAAATGAAAATTTAAAATTTTATCTAAAGAGGAGAGGTGGCAGCTTCAGAACTTTGGCGGCTGCGAGAGAAGGTGGTTGCTCCAGACTTGTAGCAGTTGCGGGAGGAGGCAAGGACTAGGAGGTTGATGAGGCGGCGGCAAGAGAGGTGGGTGTTCGCGACTGCGGGAGGAGGCGAGGTGGAGGAGGAGGCAGCGG